TGGGGACCCCGTGCCATGCTCCGGGAAGGCGTGTGGCCAAAAGAGGGAAGTGAGGCATGGGCACCCAGGTGGCTCAGTCAGTTAAGGGTCTGACTACGGCTCAGGTCATGATCTTGCAGTTTGTCAGTTCGAGCCCCACACTGGGCTCTGTGCTGACAGCTCAGAGCCTGGAGCCTGCTTCGGATTCTGTGTCTCCCTCTCTCTCTGTCCCCTTCCCCCCCCCCACCCCGCTTGTGCTCTGTTACTATCTCAAAAAAAAAAAAAAAAAAAAAGAAGCAAGGCACTTGATAACACCCCGATTGGAGTCACCACAGAATTACTGTACCACAATCTCTCATCCAAGATTCGGAAATCCAAAAGGCTGTGAAAATAAAAGGTTCTTTTTTGTACCTCATTTGACAAGCAAAACCTGATCTGTCTCCCTCAGGTGACAAAGCCCGACCTGGATTTCTGAGAGGGTGTTGTGGGTGCTAGCCCAAGCCCCTAGGTGATTAGGAAATATTTAGTGTATGCCCCATACTGTCTTTCCAACATCTGAAAAATGATGAATTCCAAGAACACCGAGCTCCAAGTATTTGGATAATGGAGTGTGGACCTCTCTTAATATGTCTTTATGTGTTCTTTCTTCTTCCTTCTTTTGTTTTAAATGCTTGTTCATCTATGTCACACGTGTAACCAACTAATCCACAGTATCTTAATAAGCAACGATACATTCCCAGAAAATGCAGAGTTTGACAGACCCGGTATAGTAGCTTGCAAGGTCAACTTCAGGAAGAGCCCCTCTGCACAAGGCAAGCGGCCCACACCAAGACGCCACCATGGCTGGGAGGGCTCTGCCAGAATGGTATGTAGAGTATTTACAGCAGCCTCACAGGGAAATCACCCAAGAAGCTTTAAAAAAACAAAAAAACAAAAAAAAAACTGCCCTAAAGAAGAAGATAAAGAGAGAGGGAGGCAAACCATAAGACACTTTTTTTTAGGTTTTATTTATTTATTTCTGAGACAGAGAGAGAGAGAGAGAAAGAGAGAGACAGCTTGAGCAGGGGAGGGTCAGAGAGAGAGGGAGATACAGAATCTGAAACAGGCTACAGGCTCTGAGCTGGCGGTCAGCACAGAGCCTGATGCGGATCTCGAACCCGTGAACTGTGAGGTCATGACCTGACCTGAAGCTGGACGCTCAGCTGACTGAGCCACCCAGGTGCCCCATGTAAGAGACTCTTAAATCCAGAGAACAAACTGAGGAGTGCTGGAGGGGAGGTGGGTGGGGGATGGGCTCAATGGAGACGGGCACTGAGGAGGGCACCTGCTGGGACGGGCACTGGGTGTTGTAGGTACCTGATGAATCACTGGGTCCTACACCCGAAATCATTATCACACTGTATTTTTTTTAATTGTTTATGTTTTATTTATTTTTGAGAGAGAGAGAGAGAGAGAGAGAGCAGGGGAGGGTCAGAGAGAGAGGGAGACACAGAATCTGAAGCAGGCTCCAGGCTCTGAGCTGGCAGCACAGAGCCCAACGTGGGGCTCAAACACGAGAACCGCGAGATTATGACCTGAGCCGAAGCTGGACACTTAACCGACTGAGCCACCCAGGTGCCCCATCACACTGTATATTAACCAACTTGAATTTAAATAACATTTAAAATTTTTAAAAAGTACTGCCCTAAAACTGATCTACCTCAGAGACAACTAACAACCTAACCTCTGACAGCTCTCACATTTCAGTTGTGAATTTATCTGTCTCACCCATGAAATTCTTATGCACATCCTGGTGAGCCTTAGAAATTCAGCATCAGGCGTGCCTGCACCATGCCAAATTCTAAAAATTTGTGTCAGTGAAAAGCAGACCAAACACAACCCAAAACCTCAGTCTATACTGCTAATCCCCCATTTTCTGTTTCCCGTTTGGCGGAACTGTTTTATTTCAAACACACTGTGAAAGAAAGTCACTTGACAGTCATTTCTTCTGGATGAGTCTGGAAGATGCAAACTTAGCCGTCTGCTTAGCGAAGACACTTCCCAAGAGCTGCTCAATTCTGCAGACTGAGCCTCTGGACCACAACAGGCCCTGCTGCTTTTTAAGGATCTGATAAGCAACTATTTTCTTATCCTAGACACCAATCTAATATGTTCTAAATTTCACACTCTTTAGTGGAGTTTGGATGACCCATATGTATACTCAAGAAACTGCAACTAGTAAGTGTTAGATCTCATCTTCCATGTGTATTTAGCCATCAATTTAAAGGGTCATCTGCTTGGACGTTTTGAAATCTAGGATAGATCAGGAATAATGTCTGCCCCAGGCTGCTACTGTTTAAATGAACGTTTTTAGCCCAGAGTTTTGTCACTTTTGTCAGAATGCCTGATGTGTAGATCTTATGTGCTTATCAGGGCGGGAGGGGGGGGGAGGTAAGGGGGAGGGTACCTGGGTGACTCCATCCTTAAGCATCTGACTTTAGCTCAGGTCATGATCTCATGCTTCTTGAGTTGGAGCCCCACATTGGATGAACTCGTGCCCTGCTCTGGATGAGCTCATGCCCCACTTTGGGTGAGCCCCACTTCTCTCTCTGTCTCTCTTCCTGTCCTGGGATTCTCTCACTCTCTGCTCCTTGCTCACTTGCACCCTCTCTCTCTCAAAAAAAAAAAAAAAAGGCTCAGGTCTTGATCTCACAGCTGGTGAGTTCGAGCCTGTGTTGGGCTTTGTTCTGACAGCTCAGAGCCTGGAGCCTGCTTCGGATTCTGTGTCTCCCTCTGTCTCTGCCCCTCTTCTACTTGTGCTCTGTCTCTCTAAAACGAATAAATGTTTAAGAAAAAAAAATTTTTTTAAAGAAAGAAAAGCAGAGTCTCAGACCCCACTGAAGCCTCCTGTTATAACAAGATTCCTGGGTGACTTCTCTGCACTGTTGCAAAGATTCAGTGGCACTAACATAGAGTAAATGCTCTTTGAAAAGCCAGACCAAACATCATGGATTTGAATGAACTGCTGGGCCATGTTCCTATTACCTAGATTTATATCCTGAAAAAAATGACACTAGGAAATATGGCCTGATTTTGAGTTTGGGCATCAAAGTGTTTTCAAATGATAAGTTTCTGTTTTCAAATGATAAGTTTATCAAAATGCATTAAGGAAAAACAAATATAAAGGCTACAAAAGGTAAAAACCCTACATTTGGGCTTTTTAAAAATATAATTCATACTAAGGTACATTTACACATAAAGATCAAGCTGCCAAAATCCAGAAACAATGACTCTTTTGGCCATTTATTACACTAAAGCTTTTTAATTCTCATATTTAAGTTACTAACCATCATTTCTCTGACAAGTTCAATTACGTTGTAGCTGCCCAACTGAAAATTTGCTCACCTGTGCAGCATTTGAACCTGAAAATTATATTTTCAACATATACATTCAGTCTGGAAATTTTCTCCTCCACTCCTCAAAAGGACTCCCAGTAAGTGCAGTTCTTTAAATGAGCAAGACAGTAAATCCAGTGAATTTTGACAGTAAATCCAGTGAATTTTCAAATATTTTTTTACAGCAGTAGTCTAGATAAAATGTATATACAAAAAATGCCCTGATCATGATTATACTACTGGATGAGTTTCACAAATCGCATTCATCCATGTCACCACCACCCCAGCCAAGATAGACCACATTCCCATCACCCCAGAATGTTCCCTTGAGGTGCTCTGCAGGCCTTCCCTGCCTCCACCTTCCATGCAGAGGTCAGCCACCTACCTGTACACTAGGGTTCTTACTCATACGTGGCCAGAAAATGGAGCCAAGAATGATTTTACAATTGGAAGCTGATTAAAATAGCATTGAGAACCATAGAGCTCTATGTTGCCTGTAGGCGTTCCTCCCAGCCTTTAGCCCTCTAGCAAAGGCTTGTCTACTGTGTGGTAGAAAGGAGTAGAAAACACCTTGAACTTGGTTCAGTCAACAGCTTGAGCCTTGATACGGTTTGTTAAAACATTGGCTATACTTGGGTGGATTCTCCATCTATTTTCTTTAAGTAGGTTTATCTGTTATGCCCAGATCGCGATCTCCCCAAAATCCCAAGACAATCAAGGAGTCCGAGTCACGCATGCAAAGGCAAAGGTCTTTATTACGGGCTTAAGCTCGGGCTCCCAGACCTCACCAAAGCAATGAATCCATGCTGAGAGCCCCGAACAAGGGCAGAGTAGGGTTTTTATGGGGTTTGAGATGGGGGAGTTACAGAAGTTGTGACATGGGAACAGTGATCCAATCATAATTATTCAACATCACTGACAGCGGGTTTGACCATACACATTGTCTAGAGTATTCGTTACTTTTGGCGGGATCCAATTACAACATTTAGAGTACCTTTAAATTCAACCAATCACAGAACGAGCCTAGGGTCTTGTTCAGCGACTAACAGGTTAACTTTAACATTAGGTAACAGGGTCCTATCTATAGTTTCTATCTCCAGGCCTCTCCCTTAACAATGTGGAGGGTGGTCGCTGGCCTTTCTGGATTGGGTGTTGCAAGGGTGGTTACTCCTGCCTTGGGCAATGTGTAACTACCTGATAGTTTCGGGGAAGCAGAAACTCAGGCCTTCTAGTTCAGAGGGGAAACTTAAAGCCTGTCATGGAGTCAGTTTGGTTTAGACGTTTAGACTTGTGGCCTTACAATCTAGGTATCCTTCTTTTGGGAAACCCTCATTTCAAGTAGTGCCTCCTGTCCTCCCACATCTGATACCAAAAAGGGCCAGAACATAGAGTGATGTGCAGTTGAAAATACAAAGTTTACTTTGTAAAACCTTTTGATTATGCCGTGTTATTGTTTAGGGTTGAAGGCGGGCGTTAGGTAAATTAAACATTGTTTCTTTTACCCTAAACCAATATGTTTAATTAAAAACTAGTGCACAGAGAGGGAGGGGCCTCTGAGCACTGTCTTCCTTCTTAGACTCAACTTAACTCCACCCATTTTTCAGTCGTTCGCATTTCTCAATTTTAAGGAAACGGACAATGACATACACAGAATCCTCACAAACATTAGGAGAAAGGCACTCTCGGGTTTTGGCACACTGCCAATGTAAGTTACCAGTGATATTAGCAGTTTTAATTACAATCGCCCTAACCAAGTCTTAATCGGTTGTATTAGCAAAACAAAAAGTATGAGACCCCATACATACTCCTAACCCACAAGTCCATAACGTGGAGAGTCCCCGTGTCTGTCATCAGCAGTGTGTCAGCGCCCGAGGGTCAGAGCTCTGATTTGGGGGGTGCCGCCGCATACTTGGGGGCCAGCTCTGTGATGAGATCCACGTAGTCGGTTTTTTCCGCACAGGCTCTGCACTCCTCCCCCCAGCTGCGCAGGATCTGCTTCAGCTCCGCTACTCTCATCTTTGACAGGTCCACTGATGCCAGGTCCAACTGCTTTTCTAAATGACCGAAAGGGGGGTAAAAAGCGCAGTTTTTAAGAAACCAAAACAACAGTGAAACACTTAGAAGGGCCGCTGGTGTTATTTAACTTGGTGCCAACTACCCTATGTTGCAAAGTGGGGAACGGTTCCAATTTCTATGGAACCAAGACATACCTAAGGAAAATGTGTCATCTACAAAGCTATTGGCATCATTTGCATTCTGTTAAACTTGCTCTTCGTGGAATTATAACTTGCTCCAAAACAGGGACCTCGGTAGCTTTGCAGTATTTGCGACCACTCCATGGCTTCTCAAGATGGTAAGTATTAAAACCACTGTGCTGCATCCTAATTGCTCTTCCCCAGGAGAAAAGAAGGGAATTGATAACCTGCAATGCCTTGGAATGGCCTTGAGTGTGGCCAACTGAAAGCCCTCCATTTTAAATAACTAGAAAGTGACGGTTCACTTTCTGTATGAAGATATGTCTGAGTTAAAACAGACGGGCACACCTCTTACAAAGCACTGTCGGGTTTTTAAATACAAACGCAAAGAAACCAAAACACAGGAATAAAATTAAGAGCATTCTAATTGATCCTAAATTGTTTCAGATCTCTGCTTGAACTCACCCAATCCTCTGCCCCTATGGGGATTACAAAATCATCACAGCATCCCTTGATGGTCCCTTGGGATATACCCACTTCTTTAGCTCTAGTGCCTTAGTGCCGGCCAGTCAGGCTCCTTACCTTCTTGCCCACACTTGTTACTAACATTGAAGTCCTTGAGAAAGTCTACTGTTTCCGTTTACAGACTATCTGCAGGGAATGTCAAGAACTCAACTACTTCTCTATTGCCAAACTCAAAAAGGAAAAGGAAAAAAAAAGCTCCTCTATGACATACTCGTAATTTCCCTATCAGAAAGGGGAAATTCTTTTGTTCCAGCAGTAAGTCCCCTTCCTCCTGTCCCACAACAAGTGTGTGCTTGAACATGGATACAACATTTAAGTTTGTTTATGAGACAGTTGGTAGCATCACAGGAGTTGTACAGCTTGACTTCTCTTGAGGCGCCCTTTCCTTTTTTCCCCTGCATAATAAACATAGCATTTAACAACCTAACATAGTTGTCAAGTGATTTATCAAAAATCTCCACCAAGTGTGTTCAAATGTAAAAATGGGATTTTATACTTGGGAATTAATTTAACCAAGGAGGTGAAAGCTCTATACATGGAAGGCTTTGATGAAATAAATTGAAGAGGACACAGATGGAAAGACATCCCATGTTCATGGATCGGAAGATTAATATTGTTAAAATGCCCATCCTACCCAAAGCCATCTACAGATTTAACACTATCCCTATCAAAATTCCACTGTCATTTTTCACAAAACAAACAAACAAACAAACAAAACCCACAAAAAACAACCTCAGTTTGTATGGAGCCTCGAAAGACCTAGATTAGCCAAAGCAATCCTCAGAAAGAACAGAGCTGGAAGCATCACACTTGCTGATTTCAAACCATACTACAAAGCTGCACTAAGGCAGTGTGTGACATTCCTGGCCCAAGAACAAAGGAAAGAAAAAAAAAGACAATGGTTAACTGATAAGGATCACAGTCATGCAGGCCAGGAGTCCCCATCAGTTTCTAAAAGTCTTAGTAAATTACAAGACAAAGGCAACCCCTGGGGTGTCTGGGTGGCTCTGTTGGTTAACCGGTTAACCGACTTAGGCTCAGGTCATGATCTCGCGGTTCTAGAGTTCGAGCCCCGCGTCGGGCTCTGTGCTGACAGTTCAGAGCCTGGAGCCTGCTTCAGATTCTGTGTCTGCCTCTCCCCTGCTCACACTCTGTCTCTCTGCCTCTCAAAAATAAATAAATGTTTAAAAATATATATATTTAAAAAAAAAAAAGAAAGAAAGAAAAAGGCAATCCCTTATCAACAGCTTAGCTTCCAGAATCCCGTAGACTCAGTTTCCTGGAGCCCTAACATCACCTTCCCCTCTCCAATGATGTGGGGAACAAAGACAAGAAGAAAATATAAATGACATTAAGTTTCTTTATAACCTGCAGACCATTCATTGACAAATACTTGAAGCAAACACAGAGTAGGACCTTTCTCCGGGAACTCCCTGCTGTCTTAATGTTAATGCCTTACTAGAGGGAAAATAACCTTAGCTTGACAATAGCGACAATAGCAAGGCCTCGGGTATCTTAAGAGTCCTCTTTAGCATATCAGAGTCCTCCAGGAGGCCTCCCTTTTGACTTTACCTCTCCCAACTCCAAAGTACACAGTCAATCACTCTTCACACCCCCAGTGCAGCTCTTTCTGCCCCTGGGTCCTGTCCCCATGCTTTAATAACAGCACCTTTTTCACCAAAGATGTCTCAAGAATTCTTTCTTGGCCATTGGCTCCTGACCCCCACCATCATTCCAAAACCCCATCAGAATCAAAAGCCCAGAAATAAACACTTGCAGGTACGGTCAACTAAGATTTGACAAAGGAGCCAAGAATATGCAATGAGGAAAGAATAGTCTCTTCGGTAAATGGTGTTTGGAAAACTGGATAACCACATGAAGAAAATGAAACTGGGCCCCTATCTTTCATCACTCATGAATATTAACTTGAAAATGGATTAAAGAATTAAACAGCAGACCTGAAACTACAAAAGTCCGGGAAGAAAACCTAGGGAAAGTCTCCTTGATATTGGTCTTGGCAACAATTTTTTGGATATGACACCAGAGCACAACAACAAAAGCAAAAATGAGTAAGTGGGAACATATCAAACTAAAAAGTTTCTGCACAGCGAAGAAGCCAGTACAAAATAAATAGCAAGTGATGAAATGGGAGAGAATATTTGAAAATCATATATCTGATAAGGGGTGAATATCCAAAATATATAAAGAACTCATACAACTCACTAGCAAAAAAAAATTTTAAACAATCTGGCCAAAAAAATACGCAGAGGAACTAAATAGACATAGACAGTTTTCCCAAAGAAGACATACAAATGGCCAAGAGGTACATGATAAACTGCTCAGCATCACTAATCATAAGGACATGCAGAACAACACTACAGTGAGATATTACCTCACACCTCTTAGAACAGGTGTCATCAAAAACCTAAGAGAGGGCAACTGTTGAAAATGATTTGGAAAAAATCACTGTCGGTGGTAGTGTAAGTTAGTACAGCCACTATGGAAAACAGTATGGTGGTTCCTTTAAAAATTAAAAGTAGAACTACTAAGCGATCCAGCAATCCCACTTCTGGGTATATATCAAAAGGAAATGAAAACAGGATGTAAAAGAGATGTCTGCACTCCCATGTTCGTTGCTGCCTTATTCACAGGAGCGAAGATATGGAAACAACCTAAGTGTCTGTCAACAGATGAATGGATAAAGAAGATGTGCTGTTTGTGTGTGTTTGATACAAAGGTATATACATACAATGGAGTGTTATTCAGCCATGAGAAAAGAAATCCTGCTACTTGCAACAATATGAGTGGACCTGGAGAACATTATACTAGGTGAAATAAGACAGAGAAAGACAAATACTCTATGGTATCACATATACATGGAATGTGAAAAACCAGACTAATAGAAACAGAGACTAGAATGGTGGTTACCAGGGGCTGTGGGGTGGAGAAATTGGCCAAAGAAGTTGGCCACAGAGTATAAACTCTGGGGATCTAAAATGCACATCGTGGTAATTGTGTTAATAATATTGTATTATATACTTGAAAGTTACCAAGAGACTACATCCTAAATGTTCTCATTACAAAAAAGGTATGGTAATCAGAAGGCGTGATGGAGGTGTTAGCTAACATGATGGTGGTAATATTGCAATATTTAAGCGCTTCAAATCAACGTGGTATATACCTTAAACTTACACAATGTTTATGTCAATTAAATCTCAATACATGTGGAAAAAATAAAAACAAAATGATAAAAACTGACATTTTCAAACCTTTTTTTATTTGGAGGGTCAGCTACACCCTGTGCTCCGGAGAACACTTATATTTTTATAGTGATTCCCATCCTTAAAAAAAAATAGAGCTAGCAAAAACTTACTTTCAGGTCAAACACCAAATGACACCTTCCTAATTGAAAACATAATCCACTCTACACTTACCTTGTTTGTTAATTTCATGGCTGACTTAACAAATACCTTTAGACATAGAAGCTTTTATAGCTCAAATTATTAATATCCCATAGTTCAAAGACCCTGTTCAATCTCAATTTTCCTGCCGACAATAAGCTTGGGAGGAGAATTTAGAACTAGTGGCCCAGTCAAAATAAATGATTGAAGGGGAAAAAATTAGTTTCTTGCTAGGATAAGTAGTGTCTTTGAGTTTTTCTAGAGAACTTGGCATCTGGCATTAATTGTAAAAGAGGGAAAACTCTGTAACCATAAAACAAAAAGGAAAAGGTGGATACCAAAATTAAAGCTAGTTTGTGGCTCCCCAGAGGCCTCTAGTGGCCATCATTGCCAAAACATTAGTAAGCATGTGTTTCTTCTCAATAATATCTGATTAATTTTTCTATTATTCAAGGAGCCTAGTAGGTTCCCTTGAATATAGCAGACATTGTCCAAAATGCATTTGGCAAATGAAAGAATCAGCATAGATTTGTCCCTTCTGTGAATATTGTTTATATGGACTCAGTTGTTTATATGGACTCTACTTCATTACTTGGAAGCCAATAAAAATGGATTCTTCCCCATAATCACTACCTTGGAGATGAGAGCCTGCCCTTGACAAAAAATTGAGAAATAGGTTACCTTAGGTATCTTCCGGCCTTAACCCTAGTTAAATCCAGCTATGTTGCTATGGTGCATAGGCATATTACATAGCTATGTTGGAAAATAAGACTAAGGTAACTCAGAGTTGGATGCTAATTACTTAGTTTACAATACTACAGTGGATATGTAACATCAAAAAAAAAAAAATGACTTAAGCAAAAGAAATGAGTCTCTCCTGGTAAAATCTCAGGAGTTAAGGATAGACTAAGGGAGGGATCCCCCAGGCTTTTATCACACCTATTCATTCTACCCAAACGGCTGGCCCAGATACAGATCCTCAGTACTGTGTAAGAATAGACCTATATCTGTGGAATTCATAAGGCCAAGGATACCATTTTAAATAGGACATCTCCTTCCGTTCCTCACTGTTTATTTTAGGCACCCTCTACTTCTTCAAGCGAAACCTGACTTGATGTGAATAACCTATTTCCTGAAGTTTAAAACCAGCAGAATGGCAGACAAATCTAGGGAGACAAGTTATAGTCAGATTTAAAACCTCGAAGTCCTAACATCACCTTGGAATCAATGCAACGTTTTGCCTCAATAGGTCACCAAAAAGCTAAGTCACCATGAGTAGCTGCTCCCTTTACATTTTGACTTTCTCCTTGACATACGTAGTTGACCTTGCCTTGGTGACGTAAGAGATTAAACTCTGCTCTCTGGGTTTGTCGGTTCTACCTAACGCTGAGTGTGCTGTACTCCTTTCTGTTCCCCACAAGGAGCTCAGATGTCGCTAGGCACCATTCAGCAGCCCAGCAGCCTACTGGCCAGTGGAGAATGCCTTCTCTTCCCACATTGGCTTTTTAGAAACAGGGCCCTCGATGTAGAGAATTGGCAATGCTCTGAACATATTGGAAAATTACATTTGACTCCATTATACCATATTTCAGTTCACAGATCTGGCTGTCCATCTTTTTGAGCTTCTCACAAATCTTTGTTGCAGGCATATGCACGCTCATTGGGCGAGCAACCTCACTTAGGATCTTGGTGGCTGCATCTTTCGTTGCTCCTAGATAATAGCACTGATGGAGAACAAAGATAAGTTAGTGTCGCTGGGTGATGAAGAAAAGTTAATATAGTTCAGAGAAGTGAGAAGGAGGTTAACCTAGTTTTCATGGCCCAGCCATTAAATTTTAACCCCTGCTGACTAAGACACCAGAAAACAAATGATTCCATCCCCATGATCATGTTAATTAGTAGTGCCCTACAATTCACATGATGCTCAAAGACTAATAAGAGCTAACACTTGCTAAGTGTTTTTATTTGTGCCAGGCGCTGCTCTCTCACTGCTCTTGGGGCTTTAAAGGTCTTAACTTACTGAATTCTCACAACAATCCTGTGAAGTAAGTACTATAATTATCCCCATTTTATACCCAAGCCAACTAAAGGTCACCCAGCTGGCAAGCAGAAGAGACAGAATTGAAAAATCTACCATTTCGGCTTCTAGAGTCCATACCCTTCCCCATCGTGCTATGCTGCCTTCCCAGCTGCCCAACTTTAGCACTTTCATTTAAAAATATGAAACTTCATGGCACAAATAAATGCTGAGAGGTTTACAGTGTGTCAGTGGTGAATAGTCAACAATGCAGATTTAACTGAAAAATTGAACACGAAAATTCTAGGCAAAATGAATTGGCCTACAAGTATCTATAGTGAAGTAAAACACTATACGGAAATAAGTCATCCGTGTATACCCAGAAAACACTATTATAAGCGAATATAAAGACTTCATTAGTTATGTATGTATGATGTTATAAAAATGTTTTGGTAAGTTTCACTAATAGTCTTGATAAGAAAGAGAAAGTCTACCCACTCAACCCAGGACAGAAATTTTCTCATTAGGAATTTGTGTGACTTTACTTAAAACATGGAATTGGTTGTCTGTGGCTTATTCAGAAAGCAAAATGAAACCAGATATGCTCTAGATGAAAATACATGACTACACTTCATTGAAAGATCAATTTTTGCTTGCTATCTACAGTGAACATCCTTGAGGCATCTAAGCAGGAGACCATTCAGACTAAGATGAGAAATGAAACCATGAACACTTTTCTTCAAGCCTAAGGGGAAAATGAAAGATGAAGAGTTACCATACCAGGCGGTTTTCTTTTCCTTTGACATCCAAGCAAAAGCTGACCAATTCCTTTTCTATGGTGTCCAGGGAAAAGTTGACTCCTCTGGCGATCAGGGAGTTATAGAATCGGTTCAGGAATTCTTTACATACTAGAAGAATCAAAGAAATTATGTAGTTATGTACAATATAACTATTAACACACCGATGTGGATGTCCCAGTCATCAAATACAGAAGTTAAATTTGATTCAACACATTGCAACAATGGATTCAAGTTATGAGTAAGAACGGTTTGGGGCCACGGGCACCTGGGTGGCTCAGTTGCTTAACTGTCTGGATTTTGCCTCAGGTCACGATCTCCTGGGTTGTGGGACTGAGCCCCACTATCACCCCAGAGCCTGCTAGGGATTCTCTCTCTCCCTCTTTCTGCCCCTCCCCTGCTTGTGTGCTTTCTCTCTCTCTCTCTGAAAATAAGTAAACAACTATTAAGAAAAAAAATAATGATTTGGGGGCTATAGCTAGTAGTTTAGTATTGGGCTTTGCATAACACTTATTGAGTCAATCAATCAATGACTCAATCTTTGGAGTCAAGTTGAACCTAAAATGAGAATTTTCCCACAAAATTTAAGCCTAAAAGAAAATACAGCTTTATATAGGATATGATGCCTGAGACAGCTTTGTTTAAAGCACAGAGGAAAACCTGAAAACATATCTTAAATGAAACCCCTTGGTCATCTGCATATGTCTGTATGTTCTATCATCATGAACCTACATGAAACTCCAATTCGAGCAATCATATTCGATCCCAGCATCCAGAGCCAGCAAAGGGGTAAAGGGAGCTGAGCAGTGGCACAGCCAATAACAACCACCGTAGTTAACATTTGTTGTGGCTCTCAGGTGCTATCCCTGTTCTAATGTATGTTATTATTAACCCATTTGAGTCTCAGAACAAAGCTATGATATAGACGCACTACTATCCTTATTTTACAGATGAGGTAGCTGAGCCAAAGAGTGGTCAGTTAACTTGCCTAATAAGTGCTAGAGAGGGAATGAAGTCCCTGGTCATCTGACCCAGACCCTACACACTTCTCTCTGCAGTAGGAGGAAGGGGCTTTGTCATGTGGCTCTCTCAGATGGGGCAAATGTCCAGTCCAAGTAGAAAAGAAGGAAATGGAGGCCAGAAGCTTATGCTGGAAAACAGTGGCCCTAGCATTAGAAAGAGAATTCTAGAGAAATATACTAAGGAAGAGTGGAGAGTGCTCAGTCCCAGGGTTCTCTCTATCCCTACTCTTAATTCATGGTATTAACTAAAACCAGGTGATGTGCTCTGTCCCCCATCCCTAATAATCAAGTGTCTGATTATCTAGCTGACTGGTAATGAGGCAAGATCTACTGATCACCCTAATATATAAACTAGACACCTAGTATAGTTTATGTTCATTTGATTAAGTTAATTTATTTAATAAATATTTATTGAGCATCCTATGTATGAAGCACTTTAAGAAGTTCTGCTAAAAGATACATTGTAGGAAGAAGGAGGCAAAATCCAGAAAGGAGAAACAGGTCACAAGAAGTAATGTGAGGAAAGAAAATGGCAAGTGGGAGAAAAATTTAAATCAAGATTAAGTATGTAAACAGTAATAATGAACATGTAGGAGTATAAATGTAAGGTAAAACCCAGATGCAGGATAATTCCAACATATAAGATGGAAAATAAAGGAGAATTTATGTGAAACTTCCTAAGATCCTTTATCACCCAGGAAGAGGGTAAAGAAACATTATTGTTAAGTCCTAATGATATTCAGCTAACTAATCATGTTAACAATGTTAAGGGCAATAACTAAAAGTGTAAGTAATATAAAGATTCCTTTAAGATCAGCATTGGAGCAGGGCATGGGGAGGGATTGTTAAAATATTTATCTGGGGCGCCCGGGTGGCTTAGTCGGTTAAGCGTCCGACTTTCGCTCAGGTCATGATCTCGCGGTTCGTGGGTTCGAGCCCCGCGTCGGGCTCTGTGCTGACTGCCAGCTCAGAGCCTGGAGCCTGTTTCAGTCTGTAACTCCCTCTCTCTCTGACCCTCCCCTGCTCATGCTGTCTCTCTCTCTCTCCTAGAAATAAATAAGACATTAAAAAAAAAAAAATTTATCAGTGCACTAAAAGGCAGGAAAGATAAAAAAGAAAGAAAGAAAAGAGCACAATAAGGTTTTCTAAACACTCACAAAATTGAGTAGGAGAAATACATCCAAATATCTCACCGATTACAATACACATTAATGTTTTAAACTCCTATTTATAGAACAGGATTTTTCAGAGTAGAACTATTACAAATTCAATTATGTACTGAATATAAGAGTCACATAAAAAGTATGAGGCTACAGCAAAGGATTTGAAAAAACAAAAAACAGTAACAAAATTGAGGATACTTTAAAAATAAAAAGATATGCCTGTGAAAAAGGCTAACCAAAATCTGCTTTAGCTCTGTAAAGCATTTTTTAGAATAACATCAGTCACTACTAATCAGAAAATAAAGCACTTACCAGAAATACCAAAAAAAAAAAAAAAAGTTCTGAACTAATGAACAGCCAACAGCATAGTCTAATAATATAGAAAATCCTAATAGAATTATAAGAAGAAATTGACAAATTCACAATAACAATAGATGGTTGAAAACCCTATCAGCAGTTATTTGATCAAATCAACCAAAAGTTAATAAGGACATTAAACATTTGAGCACTATTCACAAATTTGACCTTATAATATATAGAACCCTTCTCCCCCAAATTAGAGAAATTCTTAAGAGAATATGGAATATTTACATTAATTTGTCAGGTAGTAAGCCAAAAAGCAGATCTCAACAAGTCCAAAAAATCTGTACCAAGCAAGCCACATTCCCTGAATATAATTAGAAATCAGTAACAAAACATACAATATGTGTCCTTATGTGTGCCTGGAAATTTTTTAAATACACACTTCTAACCCATGGGTCAAAGAAAAAGTAGTGGTAGGAGTGTCCAATTTTTAGAACTTAATTCCAATAAAAATGCTCTATATAAAACTTAAGGACTAGAATTAAGTCAGTACTTCCAAGGAAATTCATAACAAAAGTATGTATCTTTCAATGAAAAAAATAGGAAATTAATGAGTAAGCATTCAACTTGAGTTTTTAAAAGAAAAACCAAACCAAAAGACTACCTGATGTAGTTAACATGTTCAGAGTTGATTTTCAGTTCTGTCAGGAAAAAAAAATATGTGGAGATAAATGAATGATTGAAATAAAAATTATTCAAAGAAAAATTGAGGCAAGTTTTAATTCAAGGGGAGAAAGGTGTTCATGAAAGATGAAATCCTGGTGCACTAGATAACTCACCTTTGAATAATATTTACATGGGCAAGACAGTATAAACCCTGAGGTTTATTTTTACTCAAAATGGTGACATAAATGTGTACAAACTGGGGGTGCCTGGGTGGCTCCATTGGTTAAGTGTCTGACTCTTGATTTCAGCTCAAGTCATGATCTCATGGTTTGTGGGATTGAGCCCCACGTTGGGCTTCATGCTGACAGCATGGAACCTGCTTGGGATTCTCTCTCTCTCTTTCTGTCTCTCCCCCTCTACCCTCTCCCACTCACCATCTCTCTCTCCCGCTCTCTCTCAAAATAAATAAATGAACATTTTTAAAATGTATGTAAAATGGGGAAATGGGTATCCAGGAGACAGATGTGGGTGGGTGTAATAGATCTAAATCTTCATTTTCCACAAGCAACTAAAACTGCAAACCTGAAAAAGAGCATTTTAAGCAGTTTGTTTAGATTAATAAATAATTAATTGAGGCACCTGGGTGGCTCAATCCATTAAGCATCCGACTCTTGATCTCAGCTCAGGTAATGATCTCACAGTTTGTGAGTTCAAGCCCCATGTCAGGCTCTGTGCTGTCAGCACAGATTCTGTCTCTCCCTCTCTTCTGCCCCTTCCCCCCAATAAATAAATAAGCTTTAAAAAATAAAAATAATAAAATTAGAAAATTAGAAAAGTTAGTAATGAAATTTATTATATGGTCATCTCAATAGATGTATATGCCTTTGATTAAATCCAGTTTCTGTTCATGATTAAAGGAAGCATCGATGTTCAGACACTTAGCAAACTCGGATTAGAAAAAAACTGCATTAAGCTGATAAAGGATACCTACGAAAGCTCTACAGCAAATGTCCTACGTAGCAATAAAATGATCCTTTGTCACCACTTGTATTCAATACAGAACTGGATGTCTTAGCTCACAGAACAAATGTTTGTTTAGAAAGGAAAAAACAAAATTTTTATCATTTGCAGATTATATGATTGTCTAGGTGGAAAAACATTCTTAATAAGGAGAGCATTATGCAAAATTGCTGGGTTTCAGAGTAATAAGAAGAAACAATGAGGAAACTGCAAATTTAAAATAAGGTATAATTTACAATCGTGATAAAAATTCTAGTGTAACCAGGAATAAATTTAAGGAAATGTATCAAGGCTTTAGAAGAAAAATTATAAAACTTGATCAAAACTTTAAAGTAGACCTCAGAAATGGGAAGATAAAGCCTTGTTCATGGATGGGAAGATTCAATATTATGGAGGATAATTATTTTTTTGTTTATTTATTTATTTGGAGAAAGAGAGAGCACCCACACACCAGCAGGGGAGGGGCAGAGAGAGAGAGAGAATCCCAAGCTCTACACTCTAGGAGCCCAATGCAGAGTGTGATCTTACAGCCACAAGATTATAACCTGAGCCGAAATCAAGAGTCAGATTCTCAACCAACTGAGAAGAAAAAAAGGAGGAGCTGGCAAAGTAGACATTATTAGATATCAAGATTCAGGTCTAGGGGCGCCTGGGTGGCTCAGTCGGTTAAGCATCTGACTTTGGCTCAGGTCATGATCTCACGGTTTGTGGGTTCGAGCCCCATGTTGGGCTCTGTGCTGACTGCCAGCTCAGAGCCTGGAGCCTGCTTCGGATTCTGTAACTCCGTCTCTCTGCCCCTCCCCCTGCTTGAGCTCTGTCTCTCCAAAATAAATAAACATTTTTTTTTAAAAAAGAAAGAAAACCGCTCAAAGAATGTGGTTTCCAAGGCTCTCCTCTCTTCTCTTCCTGACACTCCCACACCTGGTTTAAAGCCAAT